TTTTTGGCGCTGTGACATTTTCTGGACCCAGCCCATGCCAAGAGCCAACAGATCCAGACCGTGGCCTAATATGCTGGCCGTATAGTTGGAAGTATTTCTCTTACTTGTTTTTTTTTTTGCACTTGTTGGCTACTCTTTTATGCACATCGATTTTCGCTCAGTGCTTTTTATTTGCCAGACAAAATGGACAACGGACTGTGGACATGCGGCACGACAGTTTGTTTGTATCCACGGTTTGTTTATGTGCCTTAACTGGACACGAGCAAGTTTTAAAGCGACATTTAACAAAGCACCCAAACTTGGAAAAAAACTGCCCACCCAAGTACCGCTCGGCTGCACTTCACTCCATTCGTCGAGATCGGCGCGTCCTGATTAAATCGCAAAGAACTGTGCTCATATGGAAATGGATGCAAGCTCAAGCTGAAATTTAGTCGACTGGGATCAACAAGTGTTTGCCGGCTACCGAAACCGATCAGCACAAGTTAAGTGTTGGAAAACACTCTCAAATTCTCATTTTCAACACTTTATTAAGAAAATTAATTAAGAGTGATTTGCGTTTCAACGTGACGAACATGTGCTTGCCAGCACTTAATTCTCATTTCAACTATCTACACTGAACAGCACTAGTTTAGTGTTGGAAAACACTCTTAAATTGTAGTATAAGAACTCTAAGAACACTAATCTATTGTGCATTAAGATTAAGCTGTGGTTGCCAGCACTTTCGACTAATCTAGTGTTGGAAAACACACAAATATCTTTATATGAGCATTTACCAACACTTGTCTGCATAGAATTCAGAAAATGTTGTGGTTCACTTCGATCAACAAGTGTTCGCCAGCACTTTCGACACTGATCAGCACCAGTTCAGTGTTGGAAAACACATTTATATGGCCAAATCATCGTATTACAACACTAGTCTACACTGTATTAAGATGAAATCGTGGTGCAACAAGTGTTTACCAACACTTCGATTTCTTGCAGAAAATCAGCATTGATAAGCACAGCTCTAGTGTTGAAAAACACACTTACATATCAACGTCAGCGCTTAACAACACTATTCAATATTCCAGTCCGATGATATTTTTGGCTTACTTTGATCAATCAATGTTTGCCAGCACTTGCCTTGCTTTAAGCATTACTGCGTTGATCAACACTGCCGACTGCAGTGTACTATCAAGTGTTAAGCAACAGTTAACTCTCTCTATATATATATGATGTCAGAGTTTTCCATTTCCCCCTTCAGGCTAAAGTTTTCGCAGTAATAAATATTTTGTTGCATGTGTTACGCAGTTGTTAGATGATGCATTACTCAACACTGGCTGCCTTGGCTGGCTTCGTCAGTGCTCAATTAATAAAACTATTTTACTTCACTAACTCAGTTTGTGTCAAGCTCTGCACATGGCAGATGTCCGCCTCGCCCTTCCCTCCGACCTATTAGGTTGGCTTAGTTTGATTGTCGTCAGCTACTGCATTTGCGTTCATGCCACCAAATCGTGCAACAAAGTGAAATGCACTTAGGCCCTTCAAGTGCGTGTGTGCGTGTGTGCGTGTGTGTTGCATTCTGCAATATTGCATATTGTAGAGGCGCACTTAAATTCAATTAAACTACAAAGGCAGTTAGGCAAAAGCCAAGGACCGCACGAGTTCGACCAACCTAAAGCGATGACGATGACGATGACGATGACGATGATGGCGAGCATAAACTGAGTGCTCTTTACGCTGCCCCAGCCCTGCCCTGAACTGACATTCACTTATTCATTCATGCACCAATTCGCTCAAGCATTCAATTCATATGGCTTTTACTTCGATTGTTGCTCTTTGTACTCGCACTCGGCACACAGCACTCGGCACTCGGCACTCGATGTTTTGTAATGAAGCCTTACTTAATTAGATACTTGATAGATGGACCTGTGAAAGTGCCTGCCATAATTGCACTTAATTGGTTTGACGGGGCGTCCATTATCAAACTCGACCGAAACAAAGCAATTGCAATCAAGAGCACAATTATTATTAGCACTATTAATTTGCGTTGCACCTGCCACGCTTTGCTCCAGCTGTTGGCGACAGTCTGCAGTCAGGGTATTCGATTGTCGGTGCTGTGCGCAAAAGCTTGGCGAATTGGTTTTTGTTGCTCTTATGTCGCCTGCGTGTTGGGTGTAAAGGGATCTACGAGCTATGTGGAGGGAGGGCGGGAGGTAGGTAGGGTGGGTTGCAGACCAAAAGTGGGCGTAGGGGCGTAGGGGCGTAAGGGCGTAAGGGCGTGTCGCCCATGTAGCTGCTTTCTAATTTCATTTACACGCTTTTCAACACTGCTCCACATCAATCGAGCTGCATTCAAATGTTTTTCTAGCTGGCACGCCCAATCGACTGACTGACCGAAAGGGTCATGCGGACAGGTAAATATAGAATGGCACAGACACACAACCTATATGAGTATATGTAGATGTATTTTTGATAGGTGTGTTTAGACAGCAGCACTGCAGAAAGCAGAAACTCGTTGCTGCATCTTTGTGAGTGGAGCGCAACGCTTGGCTGGCTGCTGTTCCGTATACATCTGAAGATGATGTTGATGATGATGCCCGATGGAACTGTTGCTGCTGCTGCTGCTGCTGCTGCTGTTACTATGTACAACTAATTCCATTAAAGCAAGCTCTAAGTTGATTTTCAATTGACCTCCTCATTTGTGTGGGCAAGGAGAACGCGAACGGCAGTGGCATTGACAGTGGCAGAGGCAGAGTCTGCGCTGTCAGCAATCAACATGTTCAATTGAGCATAATCCTGCCTGGGCAGGACACAGCGACAGAGCGACGCAATGTGATTACCCAACGCTATTTTGTACACACACACACACGCACACCGCCAGGACACAAAGACACATCCTTGCTGTCTTGCGTCTGTCCAGCGGGCGAAACGTTGGTTGCCTTTTACATTTCATTGGATTTTATGCGTTTTACTTTATGCTGATGTTTTTTATTATTAAATTTCCTTGAATTTTCATTTACATTTTTTTTTTTCGTTTCATTTCATTTTTTTTTTTTTTGTGTTTTGTGTTTCGCTTCAGCTCGCTGCTTAAGCTTGCAACACTGACCCGCCCCAATGGAAATGCCGCGCACGCTTTTATCCTGCTGCTGCCGCCGGTGCTGCCGCTGCTGCTGCTGATGACTCCTCTTCATTTTCACACTTTTCATTCAATTTATCGCATTTCGCAAATTGAGTGTCGCTTTCCTTAGATCTTCTGCATCCACTGCCCTTGCTCCGGCTCAAGCAGTGCCTAGGCAATGCCTTGATACCCAATTGTGCTATTATCCTCCATTCTCGACGCGACGCGAGTGCCACTTTATAATTAGCTATTTTCAGATCTGCGATTTCGATTCGCCTACTAGTTAATGCAATAATACAATGCGAGCATAGACCCAAACGGCAGCTGTGGAACTTGTATTCTGTTTGAACTGAGTCTGGAGCGATTGCAGTGCGCAGCTCGCAGCTCTGAGCCAGACAAATTCGAGCTTCGACCGAGGCTAATAAATATTTTCTTAACATTTGTTTTTTTCCTTTGTTAATACCTATTCTCAGAGATATATATCTTTGGTTCTAATTAAGTATACGCCATGCCTCACCCTCCCATTTCAAGAGTTGCCAACGCTGCAGTTCACCAAGTGCGTGGGTTCGTGTGTCTCTGTGTGTTTATGTAGAACATATATATGTGTGCGTGTGTGTGTGTGTGTGTGTGCGCTTTCAGCGTGCTTTCAACACCTTCAGCCAACTGACTCCAATCGCTGCCAACGCTTCCCTCACACCTCGCCCCCTTCTAACCGCCATTCAACCCATTCGCGTTCCAATTCATTTTTCAAGCATCCCCTCGCTCGTGCCGTACTCCCACTCCCGGGGGCTCGAGTCGTTGCTAGCGCCTTATGCACGCTTCATTTTTGGCAGCTCATGAATATTCATGGACATGAACGCGCAAAGGCTCGACTAGCTATCTACTGGCGTCAGCAGCTGGACTGGAGGCTGAGGCAGAGTGAGGCCGAGGGAAGCTGAGAAAAAGTAGCGAGGGAGATAGAGATATATATGTAGAGAAGAGAGAGAGAGGAAGAGAGAGTGGGCTGGAGGAGGAAAGTCCTGGCATATTATGCAAGTCATATTTTTTGTCCGCTTGCCGCATTTACGCAAATTGTTCACGCCCCACGCTTGACCTCTTGACAAACGCCCCGCCCCCTACGGACAGGCACGCTAGAGTATGTTTGCAGTCGGTTTATTTTTGGGGAAATCTGTTTAAAGTTGGTTACGGCTGCGGTCAGCGCTAACGTTAACACTGCTTGCCCCGCTGCTAGCCGCTGTCTCCTCTTCCTGGTCCTGGTTATGGTTCTGGTTCTGGGTCTCGAGTACCTGTTCCGCCGTCAAGTCCGATGCCCCTACCAGCTCCAGCCCCGATATCTGCTCTGACACCTGTTCCAGTTCCTGCTCCTGGTCCTTATCCCGCTCCTGACCGTTCGACAGCATTACCTCCTGCTCGAACTTGGAGCTGGACTTGGACTTGGGCATTGCAAACCGTTTCGTCGTCCAGTAGCGCGCAACCTTATCGTGCTCCTTCCGATTGCACTTGTACTGGTCGGCAATGCCCATGACAAGTGGATCATTCGGATTGCATTCGCCAATGAGCACCCAAATGGATAGCAGCACCTTGGCAATGTTCATTACCGGCGACCAGCGTTCGTTCAGCACGTCCAAACAGATGACGCCGCGACTGTCAACGTTGCAGTGATAGATGCGCGTTATGAAACGAATCTGTGGCGGTCGGAATGGATACGCACCCGGAAAGCGTATGTCTAGCTTGAAGATGCCGCCCTCATAGGCGGTGCCGCTGGGCCCAATGATTATCGCCTTCCAGTGGAACAGATCGTCCTTGCACATCTCGGCGCTGCAGTTGGGCGGCGGATTCTGTACGATCTCGTTCAGCTCCCGCTTTATGCGCATCACCATCACCGGCCCGTTCAGCTGGGTCATTGGCATTGCCGAGCCAATTCTATTCGTGTTGCTGTTGCTGTTGCTGTTGCTGTTATTGTTGCTGTTGCTGTTGCTGTTGCTGTTGCTGCTGCTGATGTCGTTGGTATTGATATTGATATTGCTATTACTACGGCTATGGCTATAGCTATGGCTATGGCTGTGGCTATGGCTATGGCTGTTGCTGCAGCTGGCAGCGCTGACTTGCCGCTGCTGAGAGCTATGGTGGCTGCTGTGGTGACTGCTCTGATGCTGCCGTCCCTGGCTGGTACTGGGCGCATTCTCGTCCCTGGTCGCCTGCTCGCCAGCTGGCAGTGATTTCGCTGCCATCGTGGTCGACGAGTTCTGCACGCTCTTCGCTTCGGATGTGCTGCCCTTGGCTTTGGCGGGCAACACATTCGACAGGTTCGACATGTTCTCGGGCTATCGGACTTTCGGGCTTCTTCTTTTTAATTTTTCAAATTAAACGATTGTGCAATTTGGAAAGTTTGTTATTGGAAAAATTGTTATTGGAAATTTGCTATTGATTTCTTGCTTTGCTCACATGATTTCTGAACTTACATTTCTGGAGTTTCCTTCAGAAACTAAACCAGAATCCCCATTTCCCTCTGTAGTTACAACAGTACAGCAACGAAATGCCCCAAAAACTATCAGGCGTCTCGACAAGTTATCGATAGACTCACTCAGAAAAGTACAGTTAAGCAAAGTTTGACAATCGTTGATCGAATATATCAAAATTTGCATGAATATTTATTTATTCTTTTTTTTTTTTTTTGAATATTTGTTTATTTACTCAGCAAGCTGATGCTTCGATATAAATCGTATTTCGATGGTTGCGATAAATTATTTGCATTGGTTTGTATATTGAATAGCGAGAAAATCGTTCCATATATCGTGCCATCGATAACAAGCGATGCCTATCGCATGTATATCGATTACAGTTCTATTGACTTATCAACTCTTATATCGATATATAAGGGTTCTATATTGCTCATGAAACTAGATGAGAGCGAGAGCCGTTCGATATATCATATGCTTGTCTTATCGATGACACACGCTATTATATATCAATCTGTATACCCATATAAGTTTCTGATGATGTGATACATCGAATATTGTAACTATCGCTTGTGTAGCAATATATCGTATGCCTATCGCTTGACAAACTCTACTTACTCTACTACAATACGATTCTTATCGATTTGTATATCTTCATTTGAATTCATTATGTAGATTCTATGACAGAGCTTGAGCCTGCGAAATATTTATTAGATTTCTTGCTATCGTAGCAATCGATTGCACTTAGAGGTGAGCAAACATTGTCAATGCGATATATTACAGGGAAATCCTTTTTACCTGACAGCTATAACTTTTCTTTAGCTTTCATTTCAGAGTTGACAAGCAAGAAAGTTGTCCACGCGTATAAAGGTTGTTTCTCTATGCTTGTTTGACCCTTTGTAACGGTCTTTTAAGGGGCTGGAATAGCGAAAGCAATATTCAGTTGACAAGGCCATCAAACTGAATGGAAGCCGAGAGTGAGGGATTCGTCCCGCCCATTTGGTGTATCGCAATTTTCGCTTGCTTGAACAAGTCAAACGTTAATGAACTTAAAAAAATTAATAAAGTGCCATCCAGACAGCCAAGTCAGCCACATGTGTCTCATCTGGGCCTGGCGATGGCGTGGTGGGCTGTGGGCTGGGTGTTTGGCTTAACGCCTGCGACGCCTTTATTGAAAACGACATCCGGTTGGGCCATCAAGCGGCTTCATTGGCCGCTCGA